AGGGGAGGGGTGCAGCAGTCAGTTAAGTAAGCATCCACTATCTTCTGGATCATCGTAACTGAGATGCTCTTACATTTACCAGGCAAACCACTTACTGAGCCCGGTTACAGTTCTGGAGACTCAATAGACAAACTTCATAGGAAGAAAAATAATTTTGAAGCACCAGCTACACCAACATACATATAGTGAGGCACCTTTTCTGAGAATAATATTGATCCTGTTTAATCATAAACACATAATTAGATGAGCCGAGGGATCCTTTGGCAAGATTTTTGTGTTGTTTTTGTTAACATGCTGATGATTGTGCTGAGCATTTTATTAAAGAAAGATTTTACTTGAGCTTTGTTGGCTAGGAAATCTAGCTGCTTTGAACCACATTGAATTTTGTGTGCTTTTTCTTGACAAAGAGGAAAATTTCTACAGTTAAATACACTAGCTCAGTGTTTTTTAAAATGCCTCTCAGCCATTTAAAGGTTCTCCAAAGAGCAGCGCTGTGCCTGGCTCATTGGAGGCGTTCTAACGAGTTGGCTGTTTCTTCTAAGGCTGTGTCACCCTCCTCGCAGTCCTCCTCACGCTTGGTTAGGAGGCTGAATTCCAGGTGCCTCTTTTAAAGATACCAAGGAAGAGAGCATTGGTTTAGTTTTCCCAGGTGTGAGGTAACCAGGTAACTTCTATAAAAAGTGTGGTTATTTCTTTTCACCTGATGGTTTAACAGGTAGGTTCAGCCTTTTAGAAGAATGTGCCCTCCGAGCTCTTGTCGAGCCTTTCCCATCGCCTGGTGCAGACGCAGAAAGCCTTACACCTGGCCCCGGTCCTGGGACCTCTTCCAGAAATGTGCTTTCCAAGTGATGAGAAAGAGGCAGGAGGCGTCGACTGGGAAAATCCAACCCTGGTTCCGAGTTCCAAACCATTGGTTCACACTTGAAGGCATATAATAGATGCCATAGGAATTCTGTCATCTGCCCAGCCTTGGTTGGTTTTAAACTGTTCATGGAACCAGTTGTATTTCTCCCCAGTTGCCTGTGATTGGACTTTTTTTTTTTTTTTAATTTGATTTTACATTTTTATGAGCAGCCCAGTCATTCTTTGGCCTCACACTTCACACCCAAATGTGATTCTACCTTTCTAGAACCTGATTTTTTTTTTTTTTTTCAGAATTGGGTTTATCTTCCTGATATGCACCAGTAAAAAATTTAAATTCACACCCCACTCTATGGAAGGAAGGTGTGTGGCAGTGTTTCTCAAAGGAAAAGACCTAGCTTTCTGTGTAATTTAAGAACCCAGTGTAGATGTTTGAAGCAGTTCTGAGCTAAAGACCTTTCTTAGGTAGGGATTTAAGCATTTTCTTTCACGTGTAACCTCATCTTTGACCTTGGCTTTTGTGTGTCTTACATTATAATCAGGATGGTAGAGTAAGCCTGATACGTGATTAGGTTCCAGGTAGTTGTTTGTAAACAAACCCTTAAAATAAGTGTTTGTAAATACAACAATATTTGCTTATAAACCTACATAGCAGTCATATCTCATGTATTCAAGAACAGCAGTATGTTTTTTCTAGTAATAAACATAAGGTTCTTTCTATTACATTTTTCATTCAGAAGGGACACCTGGTAGAGGGAAGGTATTACTAAAAATGAGTGAATGGCACTTGCTGCATGGCCAACCCTCTCATCGAGTTCACACGTTGACGTTCGCGTGGGCTGGAGTCCCCGCTCCGTCTGAGCTATAGGTCCCCTTGGTCTGCAGGGGAGATTGTTGAGAGCATTAAATGTGACAATGCTTATAAAACACACTTAGCTCAAGATGCCTGGCACATAAACAGCTGACAGCTAGAGCTAATCCTTCTGAACCCCAGGCCGAATAGCTCCAATGACTTCATGTTCTGGGTCATCAGTGCAACAGAAAGAGCCCAGAGTAAGGTAACCAAAGTTTGGGGCTCCGTTTTGGCCACTAACTAGACTGGATGATAGTTGGTTAGCTAATTTGCCTCTCTGATGTTCTCTCTCTACTTCTGAAGAAAATAGATGATTTGATGCCTGTAATGTCTAGTCACACTCTAAGGCCATATGTTCCTTTGGGGCTGTACCGAGGCCAGAATTGGCAAGTTCATCTTCAGGGCAAGTCTGTCATCTTTGAGCAATGGTATGGGGGAAATTATTTCATTTAATACATGTGTTAGCTAGTAATAAAATAATTTACTGAGTCACCTCCAGAAGGATGAGCTAAGGTTTCAGCCAGTTTGGCACTCTGTAATCCCCATAAAATTTAGGATACATTTGAATCTACATTAGGACTGGTTGTGCCTTTATCCTAAAACCAAGAGGCAGGATCTGGGTGTTGTTTTCTGTGATGTGATGCAGAATGTAATACCAGGCAACCTGAATATCTTACTGTTGTGTCCAGAGGCTAATTTTCTGAATGTGGGGTCCAGGGGGTGGGTGGTGATCATGAATAGTTAGGTTTTCCATTGTCTGACTCTGTTACTCACCTAAGTTTACAACATGAAGTGATTTAACACCTACTGCTTAGAGCGTTAATGATCTTATTGTTTGCACTAGTTTAGGGCATTTAGAGGGCATTATTCATCTAGTTTACAGGGACGGGGAACGTGGGATATTCGGCCCACAAAATCTTTTGGTCTGTTCCTGCCAAGGCAGCTGTAGGCGGGACTCGAAATTCAATAAATCTAGGAGCTTATTTCATAGCTAATTTTTAAGTTGATAATTTTGTATGGCCCTCAAATGATGTTATAAATACCCAAATGGCCCTTGGCAAAAAAAAAAAAAAAAAAGGTTCCCCAGCCCTGATTCTAGATAAAGCAGTGTGACTTTCCAGAAGGTCCTCTGCTTTCTAAATAACAGACTTCCACGCTGGCAGCTGGAAGCATGAGAGCTGTTCGGAGCAGGAGATGACCGCTGGTTTGATGTGAGATTATTTGCGTTGCCCTGGATGATGGAGGAACAAATACTTTTAGCTTCGCTTAAGCCCATTAAACATCCTGCCAGCCCCTGGACCACCCTGGAGCCCTGCAGATCCAGAGTAGCCGAGGGCAAGTCGGCCTGTCCAACAGCCCTCAGCCTCCACCCCGAGTCTTGTAGTAATTTGGCCCGACAGCTCCTCCTAAGGAGCCGGTGGTCATGGGGAAGGCAGTGGCTTGTCAGGCTACTTATGTACTTGAACTGTGAGCACTGTGAGGTGTCCAGAGTCTCTGGGAGATGTTTTTGCCCATCTGCCTGTGAGTTTGACAGATGTGTCAGTCCAGACAACTGGGTCACCTGATGAATAGAAATTTAATTTACACACGGGGATTAAATATCTTAGCGTTCCCCATGCCACGTCAGACTTCCTTGACAGAGCCAAGAGGAAAATGAAAGTCATCCAAAGAGTTGCTAATATGTAAACGGAGTCTTTGACTTACTCTTAAGGCTCTAAGTTACGTAATTGGATGCCGTACAACACATATGGGGCAGATGATCACCCTCGCTTAGAAGGGAGAGATTTTAACCATAGGAACCCTGCAGGCCTTGTGACATGTGTTGACTCGGAAACCTTGAGACAAAGGCTAATGTGTTTTAGGCAATCTCAGTCGACAAATATTTATTAAGAACCTGTCACTTTGAGAGGGGCAGGGAGCAGACACAGGCCATTGAAGACCTGCCTCAGTGAGTCGTACTCCTCTGAGGGGCAAGAGAAATCCACATGTGACAGTTAAATAAACAGTGACGGTTTATGTCTTCATTGTTCATATGCTACAAAATCCAAAATAGTAGTTGATAGCTAGGGAACATATAAGGATTGGAGAAGTCAGAGGCTATCTGGGAAAGAAGGAGAGGCCCTCCAGATCAAGTTAACAAAGGTTAACCCAAGCAGGCCCGAGAATTGCTTTTAGGTGGGAGCACTGGAGCCCAAGAGGCATTCACTGAGCACCTACTATCTGCAGGCCCTGGGACTGCAGGGAGCTGAGGTGGATTAATGATGAACCGAGTCCAGTCCCTGCAGGCCAAGGCTGTGAGTGTAATGGGTCATTTAAGTCGATTGCAGAGCTGCAGAATGCAGGGCTCCTGACACGGTCCACAGGCTTTGGGAATTACAGCCTGGAATGGTGATAGCCTTGGAAACCGGTTTAAGGCAGGATGGCCTCAGATCGCAGAGTTAAGCTCTGACCATTCTAGCAGAAAAATTCCAGCACGCTCATGGCTCAGGGGGGTCATTCAATGCCTGCAAGCCAGCCCCCTGGAAAACCAATCTTGAAGGTTTTGGTTCTCAGCAGGGGCCGGTGTGGTAGCTCAAATAAGCGGGTTCCCATACTTTCCCGTCGGTTGGCACTGGAGCCTGGTGGGGATCATGGGCTCGGGTTTAAAATACTTCGGCGTCCGCAGCCAGCAGCTGAAACCTGAGAGGAGAGCGGTAGTTGTGGAGGGCTGGACCCGGCTGGCCTAGGAAGGTCCAGCCACAGAACAGAACGTTTTATTTTCAGAGGAAATCTGATGAAAGCCAACGTAGTCAGGGAAACATTTTGTTTTTTTATAATTCCTGTTAGGAACAAACATTCTATTTGAATTTTAAAAATAGGGCAGTAATGAGCGTAAGTTACCTGTTTCCAAAGACAAATATTGTTTCCAAGCTGAGAGTCTGCTTTATTTGCTTCTGGGCTTTGAGGAGACATTGGTGGTAAAATATCAGGTTACTAAAACCATTTGAAAAAAAACTGTGTCTACTCTGCCTTCAATTCATGCGTGTTACTCTCTTGGCAGGATTCGGTTGAATTTTAATACGAACACTTGCTGGAGAGCTGAGCTGTGGAACTGGTATACTTAGTGAGGGATCCGTCATAGTCAGAGTGTGATTTGCTGTTACCAGATATTTTACCACCAAT